CAAAACTGTTGTGTACAGATCGGCTGTGGACAAGAGTAAAGCTTTCAATGGAGATTTAAAACGAGTGAGATAAAGACCTTGAAGTGCTTCTTCAAAGAACTGTAATGAGATGATACATGGCTTTACCAGTATAACCTTCAAAACAAAGCACAATCGAAGCAATGGCTAACAAGTGGAAGTGGTGCAGTCAAGCAAAAGCTGACAGATCAAGAACAACGGTCATGGCAACAGTTCTGGGATGCTCAAGGCATTCTGCTTGTTGACTTTATGAAGGGCCAAAGAACAATAACATCTGGTTACCAATAAAAGGAATAAAAGAGGTGTACCATTATAGACTATGCAAACATCACAAGAATAAAAAGCACATTTTGAATAAGTTTATACCAGTAAGTTCTTTTTTGTTTGCTTTGCTATAAGGCATGTATGCTCTCTGGAGAGAGACAGAGAGGGAAAGTGAGAAATTGCCTCCCAGCAGGGATGGCCCCACAGCAATCCCTCTCCTCCATTCTCCTCTTGGAATTTTGGGCACTTACACACGTGCCTAGAGTGTTTTTCAAGCTGCTGGTCTCTGGGACTCTTTACTGTGCATTCGGCCACGTGGGACCCAGTGCCTTAACAACCATGCCAACTGCTGGCCCCTATGCTGATAAGTTCTACAGCTTAGATGAAAAGGCAAATTCTTTGAGAGAGACACAAACTGCAAAAGTTCACTGATTTTAAAAAATGGTAACCTGCAGATGGCGTAATGATTACATCACTGGATTCCCACATGGTTGATTGTGGTTCAAGTCCTGGATCCAGTTACTTAAAACTCATGCCAGGAGTATGTGTGCTGAGCCAGAGATCCTAAGAGGAGAATAGAGGAGGAGGGATTGTGGCATGGCCATACCCACTGTGTGGGGTGATTTCTCATTTTCTGTCTCTCTCTGTCTCTGGTGAGCACATGCACCCTATAGCAAAAATCTCTTAAAGAAGTGGGTGGGGGCTGGCAGGTGGCATGGTGGTTAAGGTGCTAGATTCATACATGGCTGACTGCAGTTCAAATCCTGGGTCTGGTGGCTTGCTTTCTCATTTTCTCTATCTTTCACTATGTCTCTTTCTCATCAAATTAGAAATTAATAATAACAAATAAAATAAATTCTTAAAAATAAATTAAAAATGATAACTTGAATATACCCAATTCTACTAAAGAAACTGAATTCTGCATTCTGAAATGCTACAAACCCAAAACATTTTGCGCACAAGTGGGAAGTTCCACTCCTGACTTCATGTGACAAGTTGTAGTTAAAATACACATCATTTATTTAGCATGCCCAAGGGACCCTGTACAAATGGTATACCATATTTTTTTGCTGCTAAGTACTTGTGTGTAAAAGCATAACAAAATAATTGTTTACCGAGAGCATATAAATTCAGTCAGGCATGATGATTTTTAAATCACTGCTAACTGTCCACTTTAGCCACATGGGTGGCTAAAGTATAAGATATAACTGTATCTTCACTTTCTGATAGTTCAGTGTAAACAAACTGTTTCAGAAACAAAATTATTATGGGGCTGGCAGGTGGCGCGGTGGTTAAGGCACTAGACTCCTACATAGCCGACTGTGGTTTGAATCCTGGACCCAGCGGCTTGCTTTCTCCCTTTCTCTCTCTCTGGTGAGTTAAGGTGCCTTATAGCAAATTTTAAAATGGTAATAATAAAGTTAAATAAAAATTCTTTAAATTAAATTAAACATTAAATAAGGACCAAGAGATGGTATGGTGGTTAAGGGCACTGGACTCCCACATGGCTAACACACTGGTTCAAGCCTGGACCCGGTGGCTTGCTTTCTCACTTTCCCTCTCTCTCTCTCTCCAGAGCACTCTCTCTCACTCTGTCCCTCTCTGGGTAAATTAAAATAAATAAATAAAGTTAATTAAAAAAAGAAACAAAATTATTATTATTTTAATTTGCTGGGGATGGGGTGGGTGTGAGCTCGCTGGAGACAACCAGGTTGGGAGGGAGATGAGAAAGCACTGGGGATGGTCATCCGCACTTCCTCCTCCATTTCTCCTCTTGAGACTTTGATCACATATACACACATGCCCAATATGCTTTTTAAGCTACCAGATCTGGGAATTGAACCATGCAATCAGTCCTGTGGAATCCAGCTGTCTTAACCACCACACCACCAGCTGGCCTACATGCAGAAAATGATTAAGAATATTGCATAATGGGGTGGCAGGTGGCGTGGTGATTGAGGTGCTGGGCTTCCACATGACAAACCACAGTTTGAGTCCTGGACCTGGCAGCTTGCTTTCTCACTTTCCTTCTCTCTCTCTGGTCAAACTGAACAATCTCTCTCTGTCTCTGGTGAGCACATGCACCCTATAGCAAAAATCTCTTAAAGAAGTGGGTGGGGGCTGGCAGGTGGCATGGTGGTTAAGGTGCTAGATTCATACATGGCTGACTGCAGTTCAAATCCTGGGTCTGGTGGCTTGCTTTCTCATTTTCTCTATCTTTCACTATGTCTCTTTCTCATCAAATTAGAAATTAATAATAACAAATAAAATAAATTCTTAAAAATAAATTAAAAATGATAACTTGAATATACCCAATTCTACTAAAGAAACTGAATTCTGAAATGCTCCAAACCCAAAACATTTTGCGCACAAGTGGGAAGTTCCACTCCTGACTTCATGTGACAAGTTGTAGTTAAAATACACATCATTTATTTAGCATGCCCAAGGGACCCTGTACAAATGGTATACCATATTTTTTTGCTGCTAAGTACTTGTGTGTAAAAGCATAACAAAATAATTGTTTACCGAGAGCATATAAATTCAGTCAGGCATGATGATTTTTAAATCACTGCTAACTGTCCACTTTAGCCACATGGGTGGCTAAAGTATAAGATATAACTGTATCTTCACTTTCTGATAGTTCAGTGTAAACAAACTGTTTCAGAAACAAAATTATTATGGGGCTGGCAGGTGGCGCGGTGGTTAAGGCACTAGACTCCTACATAGCCGACTGTGGTTTGAATCCTGGACCCAGCGGCTTGCTTTCTCCCTTTCTCTCTCTCTGGTGAGTTAAGGTGCCTTATAGCAAATTTTAAAATGGTAATAATAAAGTTAAATAAAAATTCTTTAAATTAAATTAAACATTAAATAAGGACCAAGAGATGGTATGGTGGTTAAGGGCACTGGACTCCCACATGGCTAACACACTGGTTCAAGCCTGGACCCGGTGGCTTGCTTTCTCACTTTCCCTCTCTCTCTCTCTCCAGAGCACTCTCTCTCACTCTGTCCCTCTCTGGGTAAATTAAAATAAATAAATAAAGTTAATTAAAAAAAGAAACAAAATTATTATTATTTTAATTTGCTGGGGGTGGGGTGGGTGTGAGCTCGCTGGAGACAACCAGGTTGGGAGGGAGATGAGAAAGCACTGGGGATGGTCATCCGCACTTCCTCCTCCATTTCTCCTCTTGAGACTTTGATCACATATACACACATGCCCAATATGCTTTTTAAGCTACCAGATCTGGGAATTGAACCATGCAATCAGTCCTGTGGAATCCAGCTGTCTTAACCACCACACCACCAGCTGGCCTACATGCAGAAAATGATTAAGAATATTGCATAATGGGGTGGCAGGTGGCGTGGTGATTGAGGTGCTGGGCTTCCACATGACAAACCACAGTTTGAGTCCTGGACCTGGCAGCTTGCTTTCTCACTTTCCTTCTCTCTCTCTGGTCAAACTGAACAATGATAATAATAAATAAAATAAAATACAATGAATAATTCTTTAAAAAAAAAAAGAATATTGCATAAGGGCCATTAGGTGGTACAGTGGCTAAGGTGCAAGACTTCTACATGGCTGACCATGGATTGAGTCCTGAACCTGGTGGCTTGCTTTCTTACTTTCCCTTTCTCTCTATTCCTCTCTCTGTTGACTATAGCCAATTAAAAATAATAATAAATAAAATTAAATGATTCTTTAAAAAAACATATTGAATAAAATTACCTCTGAACTATGTGCATAAGGTATATATAAAACATGAATGAATTTTGTGTTGAGACCTTGGGATACTACCTCCAAGTTATCTCATTATGTGTGTGCAGATTTAAAAAAAAAATCCAAAATTTTGGATAAGGAATATTCAACCTATACAAGTTAAAGATCTTCCCACAAAGAAGTCTCCAGATTCAGATGGCTCCACTGGTGAATTCTAACAAACATTTAAGGAAGAAATAATATCAGTATTATACACATTCCTTCAGTTCTTTGTATAAGCTGCCAACCGCATTTCTGTCCTCAAAGCCTCTAAAGATAAGACTACTTGTGGTATTATCTGTTGACGACAACTTTATAGTATTATCAACTGGACTAGGGAGAAATGTATACATATTGGAATATTCACTTTGTTAAGCTAAATAACATGATTGAATGTATAAAAGAACATGAAATTAAAAAAAAAAGAATAGCAATCTATCAATGTTATCTCCACCTTGACACATCTGTGGGTGCAATAAAAGCTTCTTTTTCTTATTTGCACAAGACAGATTCATTCTGTACTACAGTCATGTGCTATATATCTATGTTTCGGTCAATAATGGACTGTATACATGATGGTGGAGCAATAGATTGTACCACATAGGTCCGTGTAGATATACTCTAAGATTTTTGCACAATGACAAAATTGCCTAAAGACACAGAGAATGTATCCCTGTCATTAAGTGATGCATGACTGTATACTCTCATTTTGTTCAAGGAAATATATTTTTGTCCCAGCACAGCTTCTGGGAGAAGACTAAGAAAGAAGACTGGAATGATATACCCACTTAAGATGCAAACACTACTTCAAAGTAGGAGTATTTTCAGAGAGTAGAAACTTATCTGACCAATACAGGAAAAAACAAGAAACAGTTTTCTGAAGGGAATGATAGGCCCATGCCCAAATAACCTTAAAAAAAAAAAAAAAAGAATCTCAGAAAGGAGAGAGGAACCATCACCTCACCTGAGCCATGGTTTTGAGATTTGCAAAAGACGTCTTTCCTTTGGGTTTCTCTTTAGAAAAGGGGTGATTCCTAAGAAGGGAAAGCTGAGATGAGAAAAAGTCACATGAAACCACACATGCCTTATGGCTTATTATGACTTATGACTCATTAAAAGTGCTTCTGTGTTCCTTGGATTGGTCCTTTTCCACTATGCAGACCTCAAATAGATATGGGGAGTGAGGGTGGGGGGCAGTGAACGAAATAATGTTGTGTCCTCAAAGCCAGAATTCAGGCTCTTGGACAGCAGGAGGGATTTACAGCAAGCTTCTCTCCCCTTCAGAATATCATATTTTACTTCTGTACCACTGTACCATCTTTTCTAACCTAAATAGCCTACTATCATTAACTACTTCCAAGCTGCACCCCATTACGGCCACGCCACTTATACTATTACCCGCAATTTGAGATAATTTGTCATTCCACACTCTGAGAAATACTACTATACACATTTTTTAATGCTTGCCTATCTAATCTAAACTTTGGGTCTAGTTTCTAGGTTTTTTATTATGAAAGATCAAGATAAGCTTCTTTAAAACATTTTTCATTTTTTTGTTGGTTAAAGGTCTCTTATAATTAGTTTCATTTTCTATTAGATTGTTTTTATTTTCCAGTTTGGTATTAGATCTTTGAAATTTTTTATTTATGTAAAGTTCATTTATTTCTTCCATGAACAAGATCACAGCACCCCCTCAATAAGGTCCTGATGCTCTGATCCATCCCCAGTTTTAGCCAGCTCTGAATCATGGGTACACATGTACTCAGGGAGATACAAACTCAGAACTCCTCCATGTGTGTCAGTCTCACAGAATATCATTTTACTGCTGTACCACTGTCCAGCCCCACAGATCTTTCTTTTTCTTAGTTTTGCTATAGGATGTGTGTGATTGCCCCAAAGAGAGAGAAAATGAGCATCTACCCCTTGGGGGAGGGCCATGCCAGTCTCTTCTCCTTTTCAGTTTGGGGCATGCACACATAAGTACCCAGTGTAATTTTCAAGCCACTGGATCCAGGACCATGAAGTCAAGCCATGATGCTGGCCATGTGGGACCCAGGTGCCTTAACATCCACAGCATGTGCTGGTCCCCCACCCCCAGATCTTTCTTAAGGGAAGGAAATTAATCCTTTTTCTGTGATATGAGTTGCAAATAATTTTTTATAGTTTCTTATTCCACTTTGTGCATTTTCCATGTAAAAATACTTTTTGAAAAATTATTTGGCCATTTGGGTTAGAACCACCAGGTATTCAATAATCTGCATTTCTTTCACCCATCTAATCTACCATCTTTTTCATATATTTCACTTCTTTTATGTAACTGTGGAGATCTGGGCTTTATATTTAGTTCCACTGACCTTTTCATTTAATTACAGAATTATCCTGCAGTTATTAGTTTTAAAACATATTCTAGTGCCTACAGGGACTGTTTCTCCCTATGATTATTTTTCTCTTTCAGAATATCTGCTTTGTTAATTTTCTTCTGAGAACTTTTGAAAGCTCAAATATATTACTGAAATTTTGATGGAACTATATGATGTTAGGGAGTTTTGGATATTTTATCATGTTGTGTCTTCCTGTCCTTTTATTCAAGTCTTAATTTTTTAAATGTGCTTAAAAAATACATCACACTGGGAACCAGCAGCTAGCGTAATGGCTACGTCGCTGGACTCCCACGTAGTCAACCGTGGTTCACGTCCCGGACCCGGTGGCTTAAAACTCACACTGGGCACGTGTGCATGCGTGCCCAAGATCCTGAGAGGAGAGTGGAGGAGAAAGGATTGTGGCATGGCCATCCCCTCTGGGGGGTGATTTCTCGCTTTCTGTCTCTCTGTCTGGCGAGCACATGCGCCCTATAGTGAAAAACCTCTAAAAAACAAAAAATACATCACACAATAATAAGGTCACTTCTTTTGTATTTCACATTTTTTGACAGTCACTATAAATGAAGTCTTTTTTCCCCAGTTTTTGCACATGTGTGTGCACACAAGCGAAGCCTGTTGGTTTGTTAATGTTGTTTCTAGCAACTCTCTGAGCTTTCTAATTGTTGTCATTGTTCATTTTTGTATGGTAACTTAGAAATCTTTTTGCCTCAGTCTTAGCTGATGTCCTACAGATGGTGAGTGAATTAAATTCTAAAAGCCCATAGTTATAAAATAGAGCCTTCTAGAGCTGCTGTTGTTTTGCTACCATTAATTTAACTCCTAACTTAAGAGGCCGGAGAGGCCAAGAGAGGAGGACAACTCTTAAAGAGAGTAAATTATTTTTATGTTTTCCTTTATTCATGATACAGCACATGTGTGCACATGTCAAGAGACAGATGAGCACTTGCCACAGTCTGATCATGCCACAATCCCCTTCTTCTAGTCTTCTACACTGGATCTTGAGTACCTGCATGCATGCCTTGTATTTCAGGCTGACCAGGCCAGGGATTTGAACTGCAGTGGGCATGAGGGATCCAGATTCTCTTGAGCAATAGGTTACTACTGCACCATAGAGACAGCCCCCAAGAAAATAAATTATATTTAGAACTTTGTTTTCCATGGGAATGAAAAGTGGGTGCTTCCCTCTCCTTGTAACAAACAAACCTGATGCCTCTAGAAACTGTAGTGGTGAGAGAATTCTTGGCAAAATGTACATGTTTCCAGGATTTGGAAAAACAAGGTGATTAATGTTGCTAATTCTCACCTGAGTGCTCAAAGAGGACCATTGAGGACCACGGATGAAGGCTGCCTAGGTTTTCTTTCCTATCCAAGAGGACTGAGTGAACAAATAAGACCAAGTAATGTGGGTGGGCCACTGCATGCCCAGAGGAAGCACTGAGGTGGCTGGAGAAGAGGCTGTGCCTATAGAAGGGAAGAATATCTGGAGCTTCCCATCAGCAGGATCTCTAAGAAGGTAAGAGATGACTTACACTAAATTTTAGCAGTACCAGTCATGTCAGCTTCTTCTTGTCCCTGACTACAGACATCTCTTTCCTTCCCCAGCTTCCAATTTATTAGGGCTGGAGAATATCCACCTAGTTGGAGTAAAGAAGAGACAAAGTAGAGGGTGGGGAATTAGAGTAGAAACTTATTGTATATGCTTTTACATTTCAAGCTTTAATGTGAATTTTTTTTGAAAAAGTTTGCCTTTCAAACAAGTTTGAATGTTATTTACCAAAATTTCTAAGAGACAGATCTTGTGTTTAAATGTTCAAAGAGGGAAAGGCAGGTGACGTGGTGGTTAAGGCACTGGATTCCCACATGACCCACCATAGTTCAAGTTCCAGACCTGGCAGCTTGCTTTCTCACTTTCCTTCTCTATCTCTGTGACTCTCTCTGGTTAAAGTAAAATAAAATAATAATAATCACAAATGAAATAAGATAAAAATTAATGTTCAATAGATTTTTTTGTTATCTTTTTTTTCTTTTGGAGAGTTTTTTTTTGTTTTTTTTGTGCTATAGTGTATGTGCACTTGCCAGCAAGACAGAGAGAGACAGAGAGACAGAAAGCAAGAAATCACCCCCCGCAGGGGGATGACCACATTGCAATCCTTTATCCTCCATTCTCCTCTCTGGATCTTTGGCATGCATGCACACATGCCCAGAGTGAGTTTAAGCCACTGGATCTGGGACTTGAACTGTGGTCACCTACATGGGAGTCCAGCGATGTAGGCATTATGCCATCTGCTGGTCCCTGTTGTTATCTAAAGAATATCTGAAGAGGGGTCAGTAGTTGGTGTGGTGGTTAAGACACTGGAATCCCAAATGATCAACTGTGGTTTGAGTCCTGGACTTGGTGGCTTGCTTTCTTACTTTTCCTTTCTCTCTCTGGTTGAAATTGAAAAATAATAAGAATAAATAAAATTAAATAATTCTAAAATAAAAGGATGTCTGAATAAATTATTGAACTTTCCAGAAATTCAATCAGCAGAAGAAAAAATACCACTTAGTAGAAATTTGGAGTGGTATTATAGTTTGTGTGTGTGTATTCACAATGGTGTTCCACCTATTTCAATGTATCAGTCATTAATCAGTATTGGGGTTTCCCAATATACAATCTTACTATCTGTATGTTATTTTACTTCCTGCTTTCCATGAAAAAGAACTATAGTGTTTTAGTTGTCTAATTGCCACAGAGCTAAACTCTACAGGCATCTACAGTGTTCAGAGAATCTAAACAATACATGCCTAACTAGTAGCACCTATTTTCCTCCATCTCCGTTATATAATGAGCCACATTCATTCACCATGAATATTGCACACCTACTGTACTAGGTGTCTAATATTTGACACCTACTACAGTTATATTCCCATAGGCCCCTATGCCATGCATAACCTCAGCGCTACTAGCATACTTCTTACGCAAAGTGACACAATCTAACTCACAACTCCTTCACTGTCTCTTTTCCAAAGTTGTACAGTCTCAAACACAAATTGACTCACATCTAATTTAAAACTTGAAAACATACAAAGACCCTATCACTTTCATAAACAACCAGTTCCACAACGCCACATGAAGTAACGCACGCTCCCCAACAAACCCCAAGAACAGGCACAAAAAGTCACAGAAATTGAGCGCCTGTTGTGTGTCAGGCCGAGGTCTGGGCGCTGGCGGTTTCCTCCTTGCGGGAGGAATAAAACCAAATTCCTGCCCTTGCGGAGCTCACACCCGTCTCAGGCTCCCGGTTCCTTCCACTGCCTAGGTTCTCGCTTCCTTCCTCGCCTTCGATCCCGGCCCAGGGCTGCTTTTCCGTCCTTGTTTCCCCCAATCCAGATTCCTGCCTCCCTCCTTAGCCTTCCCAATGGGTCCTACCATCACCTTAGTCCTCCAAGCCCGAAGGACCCAAAAACCTCACCTTCGGCCACTGGTCAGCAATCTGCGCCTGCGCACTTTCGCTCTCACAGTGCCTCCCAGGTGCCTCCGCGGCGCTTTCCTCCACGCCGCGGACTACGCGCGCCCTCCTGGCATCCGGGCTTTTCCCACCGTGGACTACATTTCCCATAGGCCTCCGGGACACTTTCCAACATTCTTTTTTGTCCGGTTCCCTTTCCAAGTTCTAGTTGTGTGATGTCGGGGGATGAGCCGAGTCTGTGAGCGAGAAGTGCTCTCGCTCGGCGAGGAAGCCCCGAGCTGCCAGGGCGCGGACAGGGCGTGCGGAGCAGCTCAGGCCTGTGTATGCGCGTGCACGTGTGTATGTTTGCGGTCGTAAAGAGGCCGGTCGGTGTGCTCGGTGATGAAGCTGACATGTGCGTGATTGTGCTCGTGTGTATCTGCTCGGTTCCGGGACCTTTTGGGTGACCGTGGTCAGCTGTGATGTGGGACGTGTGACACTGTAGGTATGAGACCATTCATATGACAGTGCTGCTGTGATCTTGTGTGATGGAAGAGGCTTTCAATTATGTGACACTGTGGAACGGAATAGAACGTTTCCAGTTCTGCAGTTCTGGGTTTTATGTTGTGACTGAGGGGTCTGTTGAAGGTCTACTTGATGTTTATCAACCCCCCAACTCCCACCCCCTGCAGTACCCACTCCCGCCTCCAGTGCCCAGCCTGGTGTTTAACACAGGGAGTATCGGTGTAATGACTGTCCATCTGGGTACCAGTTTTAGGTTCAATTGTTTCTTGAAATTCCATATCCTTAAAGAAATGGTTCTATACGGAGGAGTCAGATATTTGAGTGGTAGAGCAAAGCACAACCCTGTTTTTGGTATGAGGCTTCTTCAGAGCTGCAAATGTCCCTGAGGTAGAGTCCTAGAAAGACATGGTGGGGGATAGGCTAGGAATAGAATTTCTTTCGCAGAGGATCTTCTATGAGAACTCTTCGGGTTGATTCTATGTTTCAGAACTGTATCATTCTAGTGCTGTCCCCCGACCCCCAGGAAACTGCTTTGAATTTTGAGAACTTTCTTGTTCTGTGCTAGGCTTTACCTAGCCTTTACCTCTTAAAGAGGCCAGTTGGTGTGTGTGGTGATGAAGCTGACAGGTGCGTGATTGTGCTCGTGTGTATCTGCTGGGTTGCGGGACCTAAGAAGGGTTGTCAGTACTCCCATCTCCCCTTCACCTCCATCTGAGTATGTGAGTGGTAAATGACGAGAGCTTGTGCGGTGGTGGAGAATTACTTCCAATTTAGTTGGTCTGGTCCCCAAGAAAGGTCCAGTGTTGGATCATTCTCTACTCTCTCTCCATTCTCCTTCCCTTTTCCTTCAAAACTCTCCAAGAGAATACCCCCGAGGAAAGGAAACATTACTAAACACATTTGAAATCCAAGACTTTTTTTGTTCTTTTCAGGAAAGGAAGTAGTCATGCACTGCATAATGACAGTTCAGTTGATGATGGACTGCATATATGACATATTAAATAGTGGTCACATAAGGAGCCTTTGGAATACACCATATAGCCTATGCGTATGTAGTAGGCTATGCCATCTAGGTTTGTGTAAGTATACGCTATAATGTTTGTATAACGGAATCGCCCAACGATGCACTTCTCAGAACATACCCCTGTTGTTAAGTAATGCACATCTGTATTTGTTTTGCTCCTGAAAGTCCAGTCAATATTAGGAAATGTGGCGTGATCATTTCCCATGAGAGGTGCTTCCTAATTTTCCCTTTCTCTCTGCTCCTCTCTGGTGAGTGCCCACACCCTCTGGAAAACAAATAAACAGACAAATGTATAGGATTATAGATTTAAGACCTTTAAAGTGGTATTTGAGTTGCTATTTTGAAATGTCTGTGAAGAAAGTTTGGGCCTCTTAGGGGCGAGCAGGTGGTGTAGTGGTTGAGGCACTGGATTCCCATATGGCCGACTGCAGTTCAGGCCCTAGACTCAGTGGCTTGAAAATCACAACAAATAAATGAGTAATAAATACATATTTTAAAAAAAGAAAGTCTGGGCCTCTTCAGGCAGAATTCAAACCATTTCACCATGAGATGTATATCTCATGTTCTCAGACACATCTCTCTCTCTCTCTCTCTCTCTCTTTTTTTTTTTTTTTTTACTTTTTCAGGTTTCAAAGAGATTGTTTCCATTGTAAAACTGATAGATTGTTAACTCAGAAATTTATAGAATACAGAAAAAGTTTAGGGAACCAGCAGTTAGCGTAATGGCTATGTCACTGGACTCCCACGTAGTCGACTGCGGTTCAAGTTCAAGACCCGGTGGCTTAAAACTCATGCCGGGCACATGTGCATGCGTGCCCAACATCCCAAGAGGAGAATGGAGAAGGGATTGCGGCGTGACCATCCCCTCTAGGGGGTGATTTCCCACTTTCTGTCTCTATGTCTCTCTCTGTCTGTGTGGCGAGCGCACGCGCCCTATAGCGAAAACCTCTCCAAAAAAAAAAAAAAAAGAATACAGAAAAAGTTTAAAGCTCACCTAGAAACAACTTCTTTGAATATGAATATACATATGGATTTAGTATACAGGATTTTGTTTTCATTCAAAACTCTACTATGGCAATGTTTTGAAATCTAACTTCTTCATCTGACAAAATATAGTGAATAATTTTTGTTTGTTCTTAAGTGCACTTTCTCTTTTAAAAATTTTTTTCTTTATTATTATTCATACATTAAATCGCTATACATCATTTGGATTGTGAAGAGATTTTACCGAGCATGATATACACCTCAGTCCAGCCCAGTTGAGACCACCATACACATCCTTGTCAACAGTTAATAAACCTTACCTGTGTCCCACAAGTGTCTTACCTCTCCATTTCCCCCCTAAATTTCCTATGCTCTTCCCCTCTCACACTTTCTTTCCACTTTGTCTCCAGTGCCCACTACAGTTTTTAATACTTTTATATTTTCCAGTCTTTCAGTTTCTACCATAGAGTGCAGTCAGTATATGTTAAGTGGAGACATGCAATGTCTCTCTTTCATAGCCTGACTTGCTTCACTCAGCAACAAATCTTCCATATTCGTCCACTTTTTATCAAATTCCAAGGCCTTTTTGTTTTTTTAATAGTTGAATAGTATTCCATGGAGTATATGTGCCACAGTTTTTCAATCCATTCATCTGTTTGTGGACATTTGGGTTGGTTCTATGTCTTAGCAATCGTGAATAAGGCTGCAATGAATATGGATGTGCAAGCACTTTTCTGACTGAGTGTTCTCCTGTCCTTTGGGTAGATACCCAGAAGTGGAATTGCTGGATCATGTGGTAGTTCTATTTGAAGGTCTTTGAGGAATCTCCATATCATTCTCCACAGTGACTGAACCAATTTACATTCCCACCAACAGTGTAGGAGTGTTCCCCTTTCACCACATCCCTTCCAGCACTTATCATTATTTGTCTTTTTAATCTTAGCCATTCTAACTGGGGTTAGGTGGTATCTCAGTGTGGTTTTGATCTGCATCTCCCTTACAATGAGGGATGTTATAGTGAATAATTTTTTATGTCATCAGATTGTAAATTGTGTCATAATTTTTTTTTTTTTTTTTTTTTTAGGTTTGCCATATGGCTTGCCAGAAGAGAAACAGAAAGAGATAGAGAAAGTGAGAAATCACCTTCTTGGGGGATGGTCATGTCACTATCTCTTTTCCATTTTCTTCTTGGGATTTTGGGCATGCATGCACACGTGCCTGGTGTAATTTTTAAGCTACCAGGTCTGGGACTTGAACTGCAGTTGGTCACAAGGGAATCCAGCTGCCTTAACCATTATGCCGCCTGCTGGCCCCTGTGTCATTTTTTAATAGATACATTGTTTTGTTTGGATATGTAAATTCTTTCCAGCTTTTCCCCATTATAAAGTGTCCTACTGTATATGTCTTTTTGTGTACATTTACTTTGTATCTTTTTGATAGTCTTAGATATTTTGTTCAGAATGAGGATCTTATAGTTTCAACCTTGTACATTTTATCAATTGTTTCATTTAAGTTTGTATCAGTATATATTATGAGAATGTCTATTATATTAATATAGGGTATAATCAGCTCTTTAAATCTACCAATCTAAATGCCAGCAAGTGATGTGGTGATTAAGGCACTAGACTCCCATGTATTCGACCATGGTTCGAGTCCCAGATCTGGTGGCTTAAAACTCACACCAGGCATGTGTGCATGCATGCCCCAAATCCTGAGAAGAGAATGGAGAAGAAGGGATTGCAACGTGGCCATCCCTCTGGAGGGTGATTTCTCGCTTTCTCTTTCTGTCTTTCCGGGGAGCACACGTGCCCTATAGCAAAAATCTCTCTCTTTCAAAAAAAGAATTATTTTTAAAAATTTAATTATTATGGTTATTATTTTAATTTTTCTATAGGGCATGTGAACTCATCAGAGAGAGAGAATATGAAAAAGCATTTGACAGGTCCAGGATCTGAACCATAGTTGTCCATGTGGTAGTATAGCACCTTAATTACCAGGCCACCTGCTAGCCCTTCAAATTTTCTTTCTGAGAGGTTTTTGCTATAAGGCGCGTGCACTCGCCAGAAAGACAGAGAGAGACAGAGAGACAGAAAGCAAGAAATCACCCCCCAGGGAGGTTGGCCATGCCGCAATCCCTTCTCCTCCATTCTCCTCTCAGGATCTTGGGCATGTATGCACATGTACCCGGCGTAAGTTTAAGCCACTGGGTCCCGGATTCGAACTGCGATCAA